TCTCTGTCTGGACCTTTTCCCTCTATGTGTGCCTTAATTATGTTGACAAGTTACACCATCAACCATATAATGGTCTATTTTCCACCATAACAAAGTACTAAATCAATTTAATCCCAGCACGACCAATAATTACACATTCAAAGAAGAAATCAATCAAATTTTTCTGAGAACCTCCCAGACCATCTTCGCATGTTCCTAAAACACATAAAAGATCACCTAGAAGCGACAAAAATCATAATATCTTGGCAGATATGGAACAAAAAAACAGACCAGAAGTTCTAGAACCCCAGAACTCTTTTAGCAAAACCAGCTACTAGGTTTGTAGACAACAGCAACAACAACCAAACTACTTCGAAATTTTAATTTTACCCTTCAAAACGAGAACAGTACATTTCATTGTTAATCGCCAATTGACACAAAAAATTCAGTCGACAAATAATTTTTCAAGAAAACTCCTGGGGGCCAAAGTTGCAGAGACGAATTGCTTGAAGATTAAACTTTTAGCGTGATTTTACTGGTAACAAAAGTTTCCCAATTTCAAAAGTGAATAATATTTGAACCTGCTCAAAGAGGGATAAAAATTCAGGAGAGAAAAGGTCTAGTGTGATAGACAATGGATCCCAAATATTGTACTGTAGCTTAGTTCATTATGTACAAGGATTGCAATGTCTTGGTTCAGTGCGAAAAAACTTCACTTATGAAGAAAATAAATCTACTCTATTGGCAACAATACAGAGAAATGAAGAGTATCACTGCAGCGTTTCCTGATTTACAAGGGTAATTAGCAAAAATATAGCATCTTTTCAGCCATGCCCTCTACCCTATCAAAATTGAGTGATTTTTATTAACTTATAAAGCCAATTCATCTAAAAGCTTAATTATTAGAGTTAAGATATATTTATTTATTTATGATTTTTGTTCAACATGCCCCTTCTCGTTAAAGACCTATATAGTGGAATTTCAAAAATTAGTGACGGCTAGACTTTCACCGAAGACTTTGGTCTTTGCTAACATGTTAAACCCTCTCATTCTCATCTAATGCTCATGAGGTCAGAGAAACGACTTTATTTATTTATATTTGATCTTCAACAGAACCTTTCTGCAACCAAAAAATTCCCAGAAGATATCAACTCCAATTCCACATTAGATACACACTCTCTCTCTCTATCAACTTAAAAGTTGAAGTTCTAGATGACTAAACCCTCTCCTAGGTACATACAGCCATTCAACATTAACTAACATTCTTCTGGCCCCTAGAATATTGGTTTTGAATCTCACAGAATCTCGAGTCATGTTAATTTCAATAGCATTAATAATATAGGATTCTAGCTGTAGAAAAAGTAGCAGGGTATATGGGAGGCTAATAATAATGTGAAACCGCGTAAAACTAGCATATATTTGTGCACTCATGTACGTTCGAATTTAATTTACATACTTGAAGTCTCCTTGCCACAGCGAGAAAGGGCTGAACATCTCCTCTTGTTCCAACCACAAGAACTGCGATGTTCAATTTCGGAATTGATCTGTTCAGACCAGTTGTGGACTTTGTAATGTAATCAATACTTGGAGGAATTCCTTCAACTGAATGTAGCTCTAAGAATTCAGAAGCAACGGGTGTACTTTTAGTGAGGTCAACCTCCACTGTTCCATCATTTTGAATCTTCACTAACTCCACAATGAGCTTTTCCTGATAAGAATGGTACAAAAAAGTGCAAGTACCAATCAGAACAATGAAAGGGTAACTATAAGAACAATGGCATTACTCACTAGAAAGAATATATACATTCAGTCAGCAAAGCAAGTATATACCAGAAAGTGACCCCGAAATTTTAGTCTGGATGAGAAGATATGAGTAGAAGTACAAGGCGTAATGATTTGTGCCCTCATCACAAAAAAAAAAAATATGTAACACTAGATTAAACTATTCTCACAGTTTTTATACCTTCTCCTCTAATGCAACAGACATGCTACACGAGTCAGTTACAAAGCAAAAGGGCATTGAGCAAATTAAGCAGCAGCAGATATTCAAATAAGAAACATAGGGACACTGGGATGCGTAAATTATATAAGAAACATAGGTATACTGGGATGCATAAATTATATCTGCCTTATGAAAACATAAAGTACTCAAACTTAAAAGTGTGTTGGGGAAGGAAATCAAGCCAGTTATAAGATGCAGTTAGCTGCGAAAATCACCTTCTCACGTTCAGAGAGTCTATCAAATTTTAGGTCAATCCTTGGACCACCCCTTTTCTCAGTCATAGACCTTGAAAATGCACCATCCTCATTTTCGAATAAGAGATTTCGGCGAGTGCCCACAGGTGCTGTGATGCAATGATCCAAACCTTAAATAGAAAAATTGCTTAAATAAGAAACATTCAAATCTCTAAGCATAAAGAAACAAAACAAATACTCTCATTTTCCTCACACTTTAGAGACTATCTTCACCACGTAAGTTTGATCACTTAGCCTCCGTTTGGCAAAATTTATAAATCATTTACAAATTGTCAAACTTCATTTTCAACCACACATTCCAATAGACCCACAAATAGTATCCATTTATCCATCACTAATTTCTATCCTTTATAAATTAAATTGTTTATAAATTCTTCCAAATGGAGGCTCAGATGTGATTACAAATAGAAATGCATCATAAAATTGCAGAGTAGTTCAAGAATATACCGAGCAAGCAACATAACACATTAGGCATAGAATAGTGAACCAGATGACTGAACTAGTATCACCTTTCTGACGGGATAAATACTAAATC